TGCCATCTTTTCTTAGACATGTGCCTTAGTCTTTGTATTTCTGTTCCTCGGCAATAAAATAAAAGTAATAACATTCTCATGCGTTGTGGTTAGACTTGCACTTTTCATGATCTACAGTTGCTGTTATTAGCTTTAGAATTGAAAAGTGAGAAGAGTTTGATCTAGTTAATACTAATTGAGGTGGTACCGCCTTTGAGAAGCATATCACCTGAAAATTCTGGTCAACTTGAGAAATCATATATGCGATGGCCTATGGCCACAAAAAGGTAAGGGAAGTCCTGACCTGAGATTTGTGATGATTGTAGGTATGATGTGATTGTCGATGTGGCTCCTGAAATCAAGTGGAAACCTGACAATGCATATAAGAATCTTAAGGTTGTTGTTGAGCTTGACAGTGATATGGATGCTCAGACAGCTTCAGAAAAAGAATTTAAACGGCGTCACAAGTCTCTGGGTGCATTGAAAATTGTTACTGACCGGGGTTTACAGGTATAACCATTGGTTCCTCGGTCTAAGCTGGATAGCTTCTTGAAAGCATCTACAGGGTTTGAATGAGTTTGTTTAACTCTTCTCTCTGCTTCCTTACTAGTTTAATGCCTAAATTATACATTGAATATATTAAATCAGCATAAATGAATATGCATGCCATCGTATCCTCTTTGCTTAAGAGTCCACAAAATCAGATGCAACTCAACAGCTCCTACGGACTTCTGCCAGCACCACACCTTCCCCCAATCACAGCTGCTTCCTCACCTCGCTGCTGAAACCCTTCCTCACCTCGTTTCTGTTTACACCATTTGCAATAAAATGAAACATTTCTACAAATGACAGTTTAAATTGGTTAAGTGATATCATTCATGCGATAAAATGAAGATCTTTCAACGCTGAGTAAAAATGCAAAAAACTCTTTCATTTTTGAAGAAATAACCTAAATAGCCACCCATTCAACTGCTTAAATTAACAATAGCTGGCGGATGTATAATATATGTATTATTCATGTATAATATGTGTATAACCATGTATAATCACTGTATAATCTACATATACTGTCTTGAAAAGTGAATCCGGCCGGTTATTTGTGTAAAGATCCCTTCATTTTTCAGTCCCCAGCACGAGCACACGCTGAAAAGTTATGATATGATTTGCAACCTTCCTTTTGTGATATATAAGCATTATCTTTTACTTTCATTAGCACGAACTGACTTTGATGTCGGAAAGCATTTTTGGTTTCTCTTCTTCCTAGCATACTCATTTACAGAGTATTGATCATATAGGTACTGTTACATTCTCCAACTTCTGTGCATTTGGCACTGAGATTAAGTCCAGAGGCATACATAAGTAATTGAGAAGGATATTCTTTTTGTTTTATGCATATGATATTTTGTTTACGTAAGTATCCAAAAATTCTCCAGGTTGGCGATGTTGCAGTGATTGATATATCAGCAACTACAATTGAACAAGATGGATCAGATGCTAAAAGCATACCTGCTGCAGAGAGTAAAGGCTAGTATTCCTTTAGTATATATTTTTTTTTTTAATGAAATAAGGTCTCCTAGTATGTTTTAGTTGCTTGTCCTATTATTGAAAGTGTTTGAGCTGATTGTTATTATATTTATGGTTCAGGTTTCAACTTTGACACAGAAGATGGAGATAATGTCCTTCCCGGTTTTCTTGACTCAATTATTGGTATTAAACGTGGTGAAACGAAGTCATTCCCTTTGGTATTTCCAGACTCATGGAAACAAGAGGATCTTCGTGGTGTTCATGCTCAATTCACAGTGAGTTCCTATGCCACCTGATAAAGATTTGAAGTGAATTCAACAACATCTAAATAGTTATGATTACTTTGTTTATCATCTCTCACTTTTCCATCTAGGCAAGATTTCCTTCTCTCTTTTGGCGCATTCCCTGACTGATTGCCCCATGTTTACCTTCACTACTAAAAGTGACGAAATACTTTAACCATAATACTGCAAAGAAAATGTTGACTTCAAGAATTGACTAAAGCTCATCTAACAATATTGTTGGCTGTCACTATAGAGAAGAATTGCATAATCTTGCTGGTCAGTTGAAATTGATGTGGAATCTAGTTTTGATTTTTCAAGTTTTAGCCGTAGGGTGTTCTGCGCTCATCTGAATAAAGATTTCTGTTAAGTGTTTCTAAGCAAAAGTTAGTGCAACTTACTCGACCACTTTAAGGCTGATTGATCGTGTTTTTTTTTTTTCTGAGATCACTTCGAGCTTTTTGCCAAATTAGGTTGAGTAGGGAAGAAACTTACTTAGATTATTAATATGTACAACTCAGTATAATTTTGATGAAAGTTCTTCCTTTTGTTTTTCTCATCAGGTTGAATGTAAAGAACTGTTCTACAGAGATTTGCCTGAGGTGAATGACTCGATTGCTGATAAGCTTATCCCGGGATGCAGCTCCATTGAGGAGGTAGGACTGCTTCTTCTTTTTTTTCCTCATATGTGCAGAGGAGTTATAGCAAAGCAATTTATTTTCCTGAATGACATCGAAGTTGAGGAAATTTCCTGCTAAATAATTTGCAGGTAAAGCAAGCATTGCTACAAAGATGTCTTGAAGTTGAACAGGCAGCTAAAGACCAAGCAACTGATAATGCCATCTTAGACCAGCTATACAAGGTTTCTTTCCATTTCTTTATTCAACAGTCATGTCTAGCAAATAAAAACATGCAAGCCATAGTGAACATGTGTTGCTGGATTGACAAATTTCTTCTGATCAGCTCTAGCTTACAAATCACAAGCTGAGTTTTTCCCTTAACTCTGATTATGGGCTTATGGCCATATGAACACGCAGTTCGTTTCCTATATAACAAAATTCTTTGAATAAATTTTACACCCGCCAGTCGGTGAGAATTACTTAGGTTTTATTGTTATTATTTGCTCTGCTCACTACTAAAAGATTGCTGATGTTTGAGATATGGTAATCCTGTTGTGCCGCAGACTCGCACTCATACATAGACCCTAAGTTTGGTGACTATTTCCATACATGTATTAGATTTCGTTTTGTTAACCTTTTGTTTATGATGAGTTTATGACATTTTCTCTTATGATCTAGATGGTTGAAGTTGATATTCCTCAATCTCTCTTCGAAGAGCAAGGAAGACAACTCTATGGAGCTCAACTTTTACAATTGCAGGTCAGAAATAGTATTCACCAGTCAGTTGTCTCTCCATTTATGGACTAAAGTGCATGCTCTGATCTAATCATTATCTTTGTTTTAGGCAAATATGAAACTGAGCGAACAGCAGCTGGCATCGTTATCAAGCCCAAGGGCCGTGAATGAGTTCCTTGAAGCACAAAAAGAAAATATAACAAGTATTATAAAGCAAAATTTAGCTGTTGGTGACATATTTATACGTGAAAATTTGCAGGTACATTCCGTCTTTATGTGATGATATATGATCCCCCATCAAAATTCCGATAATTATTTTTCCCTTCATCTTTATCATTGGCTGCTTAAAATTTCTAAAATTATTAGTAGGTTAACTGACCCTCCTTATCTCAAGCCCCTTTGGCTCTGGTGCAACCTCAAAGCCTTAAGTCGTACTCAGATTTCATATAGTTACTATAGTCTGCACATTAGCTATTGTTTGATATTTGTTATAAATACTAGTTGCTCGTCTTTTGGCAAGGTAATAAAATAGGTTATATTTAAGAACTACTCAAAACAACGAAAGTAGTCTTGTTGTTGTTGTTGTTCCGCCAGTCTTTCTTCAACTACCAACTATACTCAATTTGTGATTCACTTTCCTCCACGTAGGTAGCATTTCTAGTTCTATAACAACAACCATCTGCTTATCTATGCTCTGCTCCTACGCATTTTACCTACTTAGGCATGCTGATAGTGCAGCTTACCTTTTCTGATCATTATTATTCATTTACTGGACTTTGCAGTTTTCAACGGAGGAGCTAGTGAAAGAGGTTCAGAACTCAATTGAAGAATTCCAAAAGTCTCAACAGGAGTACGATGAGGACCGAGTTAAGCAACAGGTTAGAATTTAATTGAATCATTCTGACAATAACGTATTAAATATAGTTGTCCGCAGAATCTAAAGTGACTCGATCATAATAGGAATGCAGAAACTATCTTGATAATCCAATTTGACAGGACTAGACATTGTTTCTTTCTACGCCAAATATTGCACCAGTTTAAGCAAGTCTTACACCATATTAAGGAAAATGCTTGTCCCTTAATGTTGTCCAGGTACAAGAAGTACTTGAAGGGGCTAAAGTACTTGAATGGCTGAGGGAAAATGCAGATATTCAGTACATAACTAGGTGAAAAGACATAAATGTTCAATGTTCAAAGAAAGGATAAGCTTTCGACTTAGTTTGATGCTTCTGAGAAATCTGTCATCCTCTAAAGCACCATGCATGGTGTTGGTGATCCCAGATGATCAAAGAATGTCACCAACTGATGTCGCCAAATGCTTCAAGCAAAGTTTCGGCAGTATCAAGTTTCCAGAACTTATAGTGCTACGCGATTGTTAGCTTGGTTTGAAGGAGCTTCTCGAATCTGAGCATCGTTTTTTTTAATCAACTGATGCAATTTCCAGACTGATGAATCATCCTGATTTCCGTATCGGAATCCAAAAAGTCACCATTTTAAAGTTGGTGAACTGAAACTATATGCATTTTGAGAGGCACTCCAGAGAATGTTTAGTGCTGTACATTCATAAGCTGCTTATTGGTGTAACCTTCTATTACCCAATCTGATTGTGTTTCTTATTGCTAAATTATGTGATTAAGCAATTTAATGAAGCATCCTATAGTATTTAAGGGTGATTTTGGCAAGTAAGGATTCCCCACACATTAAATTTCAGTTTGCCAAAATATACCAACTTAGGGAGAACTAGGATTGACATAGTAAAAATTTCTCCCTACATTTGTTTCACAGGATCTGGTGTTTGCGATCACTGACTGATTCTCAAAAAGTGTTTGAAAAGATAAAAGAAATGGAGGGAAGTGAGAGAAACAGGGAAAAAATTTTGGTGCATAACTTTGAATATGAGTTTAAGAAGAGTAAATGTGCAGAAATGGACCCATAACATCTCAACTACGAAGAAATATTGTGCGCGAATCTGGCAGCAGTAGTGTTCAATAGTTTTCCAGCTGTCTCTGCCGAAACATCTGCCCCAGCCTATAGTAAAGTGCTTTCTGATCCTCAAAGCTGAGATTCCTTACTATCTGCAGTAGCAAGGGAATCAGTTACAGATTACTTATCCACGGTTATTCAAAATCTTCAATTAGTTTACTTCTTTTAATTATCTGCACAAGTGGGGTCTGGGAAGGGTAGCGTGTACGCAGACCTTACCCCTACTCCGGAGGAGTAGAGAGGTTGTTTTTGATAGACCCTCGAAAACGAATTATGTGCTTGCTTTTGTGCCTTGGAATTAGCAACACATCCATTTGACGTGTAGTTTTCACAAGCAATGTTCACCAATTTGGCTATATTTTTCATGTCTTTTTAGTACATAATATAGCCACAGCAAATGTTTAAGCATGTAACATTCACCTTTTGCACTCTGTTAGAAAATCAGTTATTACCTGATCTAAAATCATCTCAACAGAGCAGTCCTGAGGAACAAATGACTGGTAGTAGATGTAGACAAAAATTGCCATCACCATCTGCATATATGTAACACAACCTTAGCGCTTACACTGTTGAACTTCAAATAAGAGGAAGTAATTTTGTGTCTGAACAAGTAAACGCTTCAACTCTCTATCATCTTAACAAAATATTTAAGGTAAACGAAAACATTTTATTTTGTAAAAAACTCAGTGCACAAGTAGTTTCTTTAGTTTGAAGATAACTGCTTGATTCTTGAGTATTACCTGGCAATCCATCCTATCAGTGAAACCGCCGTGTCCAGGAATATAATATCCAAAGTCCTGGATGATTCCATGTAAATGGATGATATCAGTGACTAAAAAGTACAAAGGTAATACTATTCAATTTCAAATAACAGCTATACAGACCTTGATCTTAAAGGCTCTCTTGAAACCACTAGCGAAAAATCCACCAAATGGAGCTATTATCGACGCAAATAAACCCAGGCATAAAGCATGCCATTGCACTGGTAGTATTGATATCTCCTTCAGAGGGAACTGAAAGAATTCACTAAATGATAATGAGTATGTAAGTTCTATAAGCAGCGGAGGAAGTTCATGCTAAATGTAGAGCTAAGAAAGTCTCTGATATTGTGCTTATTATAGAGTATCGATTCGATTATTATATCACCTTTGCTTGCTATGGTTACTACTTGTTGTTTCTGCTTCTATTTTAGTTTTTTTCTCTTGAGCCGGGGTCTATCCGAAACAGTCTCTCTACCTTCGTAAGGTAGGGGTAAGGTGTGCATACACTCTACTCTTCCCAGACCTCACTTTATGGGTGGGATTCAGGGGCGGCTCAACGGATCTTGTGGCCTAAGGCTAAACCATATTCAGAAGCCCTTAAATTTATTTTATAAAATATTTACACCAACAACAAAATTTGCTTTTTAGATAACAAATTAATCATTTAAGATAAAAAAAAGCTAATTTCAAAAAAAAAAAAAAA